TTCTGTGTTGTTTTAGAATTTTCCACTGAGAAATTAAGGAAAACAACAGATTTAATGCGCTTAAAAATTAAAGGGACAGATGTAGGAGTCTGTGCAAATCTGAAATTTATTAAGTCTTTGAGTTGTGTAGAAAATTAATGCTTTTATATAAGGCAAGTATTATGCTGTATTGATATTAAACTTTTTTATGTGGGCTGAAGGAGAAGGGTAAGATCTCTGTGGTGCCTTGTAGCAAATAAATTGTATTTACCCCTCTGATAATTAAGTAAAGAAAGTCCAAAAGCAGAGGTCAGTCCCTTTCTCTCTTATTAATTGCTTCTTCCTCCTCTGCAGTGCTTTGAGATTTAAGTGAAAAGTATGGATGTTGTACAACATTAAAAATTATATACAAAAGATCTTTTCACTCTTCTCGTTAATCAAAGCCCTGTGCTCTCTTTCCACTCAGACCATAAATGGGTTGACTTAATCTTTCTATTTATGTAGAGGGTTAACTGCATTATAAAGAATTGCTGCATCTTAACTTAAATTGAGATGATAGAGTGGTATCTTTTTACGAAAGAAAGCTGTTATTGTTATTGAAAATGGCACAGTAGAGGTGGTGAGGGTGGTAGCTGCAAAGATCTCAGAGAGCTGCCTACTTGGTCATCTGAATTTAAAGTGTGTTTCATCTCCACTCAGAAGCTAATCTCTCTGAGGTTAATTTGAAGCCACAGGTCCAGCCTTAATGAGTTGTAAGATCCAAGATAGAGTAATGGGAAAAAAAGTGGTGTAAGACTACTGTTTGACTGTGTACGTGTGTGTGTACATCTTCTAGATGAGCTGAAAATAGGAGTGGGAATCTTAAGTCAAAGATACTCCAATTGTAGACAAACAGGATTTTTTTTTTTTGGTAGTACATTTTCTAATTAGTCTCCATCTGTTTATTCTGAAAGCTTGTTTTAGCTTTTTTTTATTTCAACTTGTGCTGCATGTGGTAAATCTCCATGGAATTTTTTTTTTTTTTTTTTTTTTTTTAAGATGAAACTTAGAGTTATAACAATGTTTCTTTTCCCACTAGTGGAGTTTATTAGATGTCTAAATTTGGATTATTACTTGAAGAAAAATATGTTCTTACTCGACTTATTTTAATTAATAGTAACTTTAGGTACTTCAACAAAGGGAATTTTTCTCCTTAATATTTAGAAAGTAACTTTACTACCTTGAAAGTATTTGTACAGGATGTTTTTGTGCGTTGTTGATGCTACGTGAATGTTATTTGTAGCAGTAAAGGTCAATATAGCTACATTTCTTCTTTAATGTCAGATAAGTATAAAATAAAGTGGGGAAATAAGCAATTTACAATTTGGTGCTTGAGATATTAGTTTTACAAATATGTGCTACAAAGCTATCAGTTGAGTAGATAGTAAATAAAAAATAAGTTTTTTTTTTCTTTAATGAATATAACTGTAGAATTCTCTTGACTTATTTCTTAGATTTTTCATCTCTGCTCATCAAAAAGAGAGTATCTTATATTGTGCTTATGAAGAGCATAGTCATACTTCTTGGTTGGTGCTATAGTGTACAAGTGCTACTTCATCCAGATTTCGAACTGCAACTCATTTTCCTAACAGCTGAACAGGACAGGCAAATGTGATTATTATTACAAATTAGCAGCTCTTAATTTTGAGAGAGCAAAATATAATTGTAGGTTTATACTGGCAAGAAGTGTAGTGAACTTCTGTAATGGTAGTGTTTCTGTTAACTTTCCTGGATTTTCCTCTTGCCCCTCATGTTTCTTTCTTTTTGAGTATTTTTGAGGATTGAGGCACTCATGTACATGCACTAACTGGGAGGTGTGTTTCTATATTGCCCTTTCACTATGTGTCTGGTGATTGGTGACGCAGATTTGGTTTGAGAAGCTGAAAGTTTATTTTGATAATGTATGAAAGATAATGCACAGCACCTCTTTTATGTTCTCATCAAAATATCTGTGGGCATCAGGCCCTTTTCAGCAGGTTTTGTTCATATTTCAGAAGTTCTTTACAGAGGCAGTATTTCTACAACAAGAAGAGAAACACCATCCTGAAGTAGCCCAAAATGAAAAGGTAAACTTTTAAAGGGAAATCACCACTAATACAAGCCAAAAGGAAATTATGATGTTCAGCTGTTGCATATCTCAATATTTTCATTCCTTCTTTGAGAAGGATTCAAAGACTTTCTCACAATCATATTATTTGTCATTAATATTAAAAGAACAGTCACATTAATGCTGACCAGAAAATCACTTTGAGAGATTTTTTCTTTCTTTTTGGCATATTCTTTAAATGGTCAGATAGTATTTCTGAAATTACTTTTGATATGTATCTGGGTTCAAGAAGAAACTGCGTTAAGAATTAGTTTCTGGTGCCTGCATTCGTATGATGGGATAGGTTCTTTTCAACACATGTTCTAAGATTCAAGTATTTGTGTATACTTTTCCAGAAAAATAAGCATAGAAGTGCATTTTTTTTTTACTGGTTGTCCTTACCCGTCTTCTTTAGTTTTTGCAATTTTCATTTCAGTCACTATTTTTGCTCTCAAATAAGAAGGTGCAGAATCAGTTAATTGCCCAAAGTGTTATATTATTGTAGCCAGTGTACAGTTTACTACAGATAATTTGGCACAAGTCTTTTAGCAAATTTGTTTGGAAACTTGTTCCTTTTTACAAAACATGTTATTGGTCTTGTAGCTAAATGAGAAGCTGGTTTGTAGTCTTGCAACTTTTCTCTGACTCCTCACATAACTGTTTTAATGTTTAGGAGGATTGCGTATATATCTTAGATAAGCGTAATGTTTTCCCTGTTACCAAGCTGAGGGTACCAGCATACCTTACAACAGAGGAGAAGTGTTTTGGTATATATACCTTCTCTCAGGAAGAAGTGGGATGGAGTTCTACTTGAAATTCTTGTATATCATCTTGTGGTAAATCTAACCTTTGCTTATGAAACTTCATTTTTGCTGACAGACAGCTTGGTGCAGGCTGGTAAAATAACAAGAGATGAAAATTGAGCCTGACTGAGCATTATTCTCGTTCTTAGTCTGCTTCTGCATGAAAAAGAAAAGGAAAGATTTATGTGCACTTGATGGATATGATTTCCAACAGAGAAAGCACAACTGGTATGCAGAACAGGTTTCTTTAGTAGCTTCTGTCATTTGATTCAGCAGAAATGGTTCACTTTTTCTCTATTGATTTGGCATGAATTGATTTGCTGTTACTTTTGTTTGCTCATTTTCCCCTCACTGTTCATGAGGGTCTGAAAGCCAGCTTGGGGCTTTATTTTTCCCTGTGTTTTCTCGACATGCTTGAAATTTTTTTTTAGCAGTATACTATGTTATCAAATGCCTGCTTAAAAAAAATAATGGAAGATGGTACTTGTGCCACTCTTAGCAAGCGTATGAAAAAGTGCGGTGTGTTTTGCTTTGTTTTTTTGGTGTTGATGCCCACCTGTTGGTGAAAGATTTAACAGGAATGAATGAGATGGTTGGTCACTCACTTGCCTCCCCAGCGCTCACTTCTCTCATGGCAGTGCCGATCTAATGACACCCAAATGATCTTGAGTTGATAGTTTCTGGCTTCTGTCCTCTTGTTAGCTAGCTCTTTTTTCAGTTAAGCGTACCAGATGAATGTTCCTGTGGTAGCTCAAGAGCAGACGTGAAGCCCAGTCCATCCTTGTGTAAGGGTGATAGAGCTTTGGGCAAAGATGTTTAATGTTAGTAACTGGTCTTGGCTATTGTAGTTATGCAATCATTGTAGTTACAGTACTGTATATACACAGATGAATTGTAATACAAATATGCCATTTAACACTCCTCACTAACTCCCCAGAGGAAAACTACCAATCAGATAGAAATATTCTGTCCTGCAACCAAATATGGGAAAGAAGAACAGAACTTACTGCAAGCATGGATTAATAAAGTCCAGATCTCCAGTTCAAGAAACATCCTTTTCCAATAGAGGCTAGGAGTCAGGGTAAATGGTACCATTACTGATTTTGCATAAAGTTAATTCTATGGATGGATAGTGGTGAAGAAAAGTCTCTTTCTGTCATTTTTTTCCTCATTACTTTACCTCACTTTTCCACTTATTATTAAAGGCACACTTTGCTTATTCTTTGCTAAAGGTTAGGGTTTCTCTGTGTAATACCTTTCAGCAATATTGGCCTTTAGAGAAACAGACAGAAATTTCCACAGCTATTTGAATCATAGGATGTGGATGTTTAAACAGGTGGTCTTTAATATCTACACTCTGTTCAACTTTTTGCCTTGTTAACTTAAAAATTGGGGGCATTAAGTATTTTTGAATTGTTATATGAGTAGAAAGTATTGAGCTTTTATCTGTTCTTTACTTTGTTCTAGTTCTATATGAAGATGTGTATCTGAGTTTATTTGTACTCGGGGGGAAAAAAGGTATTCAAGAGAGGATGAGATCAACTTTCATAAAATTCATATTCATTTTAAAACAGTGTTCATCTATTACCAAGCAAATTACTACAAAAACTGTCTTTGTTTTGTTGTTTTCAAGGTAGTCTGAACTTTCAACATAAGAGTGTACTGTGGAATTTATATGAATTCATTTTAAGAGTCTTCTTTTTAAAGAGCAATGTAATGTAGGAGTTTACTTGAAGATCAGGAAAACGATAAGCCTTACCATCACCATATGCTAGTAGCAAGTCTAGTCAAAAGGTGCCACAGTGTATTTAATAAAATGTTCTATAAAAAAAAAAAAATGGTGTTTGGAATAGGTATTTAGTACTCTTTTATTTTAATGAATCCATATATGTAACTCTATGACTACAACTACAAGTAGGTGGAGGAAAATATCAATATTTTCTGTTACTGGTATAAAGATAAAACTTCCAATCATATAAGGATTTCATTGTTAAAGTAAAAAGAATGGGAACATGTATGCAGAATGACTTCCTGGTAATTTATGTCAGAAGGTTTAGGAATGCTAGAATATATATAGATATTTAGAAATTTACAAACTACTTCTCTTGTTATCTGTGTTTCCTTAAGATGCTGTTATTGAGATGTCCTGCCAAATAATGGATGGGTATTTTCTAGAAAGAGTTTGGGGGACAGTAGGAGAATGACGCTTCGTACTTCTGCAGGTAATTAGACTGGGTTTCATTCTCTTACTGTAATGAAAATCTGGTATTTGTCACACCGCAGGAATGCAGAAACTTTTTTTGTTTGTTTTACTTAAAGGTATTCATGTATGAGTATAAAAACAATTGTTAAAAATGTAATAAATTTGAAGCACATTACTTGGTTCATGTGGTGTGATTCCAAAGAAGCTTGTTACAGTACAACATTTGCAGCTTATTCTAGTGTTTGCATTTTCTTTATAAGCTGAATGCTCTTCTTGCAATAGCAAAGCTAGAATTAATGAATCTGTAGTACTGCACTGGAAGTTGGAATTCCAAAGTGTTTTCAAACACTGACTTTTATGTGAAGTCCATAAAAAATGTTAAGTTTAATAAAAATTCAGACAGTACAAAATATTTAAAGTTGTAGAACTATAAAATAATTCAGTTTGAAAGAAATCTCAGGACATCTCAAGTTCAGCATCCTGAGATCAGACAAGCTTTCCTTAGAGCTTATGTGGCTAGCTCTTGAAAACCTACAAGAATAGAGATTACACAACTCTGGGGAATATGTTCTGATGCCTGACGGGTCTCATAGTGGAAAAGCTTTTCTTTATATAAAGCTTATAAATCACCAGATATGTATTTTTCATGATTGTTCCTCCCCTGTCAATGTTATTCTCTTCAGTGTAGCTCCATACACAGTTGTGACAAATGTTTTTAAGTAAGATATGCTTAGTTGGAAGTTGTAAATGATGCAGTTCTTACTGTGATTCTGTATAAATATTATATGTATTCTAATTGATCTCCAGACTTTTCATGGGAAAAAAATTAAATCAAGTTAAATGCTATACTATTTCACTTTATGGAAATAATTGAGCAGATTAATATATCTTTTAGGAAAGTTTAAGCTATCTGAAGTACTGTTGATTAATAGTAGCAGACAAAATTTACTGATGATATTTTTATTAAAAATTTGGCAATTTTTTGCACAATCGTAAATTGCATTGTGCTGTATATTTGTAGTATGATGGCTTTTGTCTCAATCCTTAAAAGTTAATGCTCTTATTTTGGTAGTAGTATGAAAAGTTAATGCTCTTATTTTGATAGTACTATGTTCTGGGAGAATTTTTTCGTGATATTTGTCTCAGGAAATGAGTATACCTAACCTGGAAGTGTGAAATAGATAAGAAATGATTGAAGTCCATATAAAATATAGATGATCACTTCTGCTTTTCTACTTTTGCATACAATGCATTGACATAAGTGTTTGACTGCTAGTCATTGCAACCATTTTGCAGCATCTAACTAGAATTCACAAACTGCTACTTTTAGCTTTCATAATTTTTCATAAACTTAGTGCCAGTATGTGAGCACATGACTGACTCCTAAGATAAGCAGCCTGTAAAGCTTTAGCTTTGTATCTGTTCATTAATAGTTAATGTTTTGACTAACATGTTGGTGGTGGTTTTCTTTCACTTCAATATGAGCCATACATATTTAGGTTTGATTATTTTTAATAGCACAAAGAGGATCATCGTATTTAATGGATAGTAATCTAGTAGTTCCTGATACTGTTAGTCAAGATGCCTATGTTTTATCAATCTGCATAATTTTAAGGATTTGGAAATGAGCTTGAGTTGAAAGTTGATAAGCCAAACTTTCATTTTGACTCATTAGTTTGCATTATATTTCATTCTTTTTCAGGGTCTGATTAATCTCCTGCTTTCAGTCACAGTGTTCCAAGTATTTCTGCTTACAGTAACCAAGCTTTGGAGTGCATTAATGTGCTCCAGAGCGTGTTTATAGTTACAAATACCTGCCAGAAAAATTTCCAGAGGTATTCCTAGTTAGACTTCTTAAAAGCATAGAACAGCAGATGGCACTGGAAGAGCACATCTATGGAAGACTTCAGTGATGCCATAATTCTTAGAAAATACTAGTAGAGCTGCTGCAGTGCTGAGTTGTGATGAAATTCAGCAGCTCATTTTAATGTATTCCAGGAAGGAATGCATGTTCAGCTCTTCTGTTTCAGCTTCTTAGATGCAGACAATGAAAATTTTTATACTTGCAAGTACGTTAGCCTATCTCACATTGAGAACTGTTTAAACATATTAATATGTAATGCAGAATTGCTAGTTTTTTCTGAAGTACACATGAAGAAGAATATTTGATCAGTTGGGGTATTTGACTTTATGATACTTTTGCTTTTTCTGTCTTGGATAAAAAAACATACAAGATGTCATAATGTACCATGGTTTCCTTTTATCTAAAACTTGTTTAGACACTTTCTCTCGTTTGTTGGTGTTCTCAGTTTGCTTCAGAGAGCTTTGGTCAGGACTGTCATTCACGCACACAGTATCTGTGATTTATATTGGAATTAAAGTCCTTATCATTTCTCTATGTGAAATATCACAAGTATAGAAGGAAGTTTCAAGAGTTTGGGCAGTTTGCTTGGTTAAAAATATCGGCTGTTAAAGTAGACTGATAAGTGTAGAACACGTTTTGTTCACGTATATTCAGTAGTCAATCTCAAAGTATAACATTGCCATTTCTGTATATATGCTGCCATAGAGATTTATCTTTTGTGATTATTTTAGATATTAGATTTCTATTTATAAAAACAGAACATGTCTTTGAAGTAGTGTGATGCAGATGGTAAAGAATTGAAGGATAGGATACAAATCTGTGTAAATCAAGCTTCAGCATTTCTGCTATTTATGAGAAACTGTTCAGAATCCTTAGATTCCTTTCACTGTCTTTAGCTAGTTTTTGATATGATTCTTTAGTATTTGTGTTCTTGAAGTCTGCAAAAATTGGTGTCTGTCTTCGAAATGGGGAGATGGCTCTCTCTTTCTCTGCCTGTCTCTCTCTGTCTACCTATGTATTTTAAGATTCATAGACTCTTTCAGTTTACCATACTTAGCCCAGGGCCAAGTTTGCTGCTGCAGTTTGTTCTGCTAGCATGCTGTGTAATTGTATGCTTGTGGCATAATGATTGCTACTAAAAGTACTGTACTTTCAAGGCAGAAACAACTTTCCAATCTCTTCTATTTTCCTTGTCATTGTTCTCCCCTCTCTGCAGGGCTGCTTGCTTTGACTGGTTTAGCCAATGCTGAAGAAAAACAAGTTGAAAAATCAAGCTTATGGGCATGTGTTCGTATGTGTACACATGATTATAGAAAATGCCAGGTGGAACAGTTGCCTGGGATTTGAGAAGATGTGTCCACTTAGTCTTGGCAGAAGTACTAAACAGCAGTAATAGTACTAGGCAATGAAAGCCTGTAAATTACCTCCTTTGTGTCTAAAAGTTTGGAAATATCTTTTTTTTCATAGAGCTTTGGGAAAGGACTTCCATTATTTTCTCTCAACAGATGTTATTTTGCAGTTAAATTCTTTTCATTGACTTGAATTAGTTTTCCTGTAATTATACAATTACCTGAGATTTGCTCTACTATCCTATGGAGAGAAAAAAAAAAAGTGTGACTGTGACTAATCATGCTTTAACCTGTATGTGTTAAAGCATGTGTGACTATTATTGGGAGGTGTATCTTACATCATTTTATGTTCTGCAGTTATTTTTGTGGGGATGTTTTTACATGCCTTCTGAAAGAAAGAGACGTCTCTTTGCTTTACAATTTTATATATGTGCGTGTGTGTTTTAAAATAGCATGATAAAAGCAGAATAAAGTTGTGGAAATCAAAGCACCAGTAACAGATTCACTTTTGAGTCTCATGGATTTCCAAGTCAGCTTTTTCCCTATATGTTTATTTGGTGCCTTTTACTTAAGTGCTGCAATTTCGGTTTTGTTTAGAGGAAAAAAAAAAATCTTTATTGATAATTCTTAAAATATTTCTTTTGTGAAGTTGATTTTTTTTTTTTTTTTTTTTTCATTTGCTTCCAGGAAATGGCTCTTGAAGTTAAATGAGGCTGGATAAAACACATAAATGAAGCAGAAGCTGCTCTGCATGTGTTAGGGCTATATCACCATAAGCACTGCTGATCAGCCAGACTTGGTAACTTGTCATAATGAAGAAAATTAGTCTCAAAACAATTCGCAAGTCCTTTAACTTAAATAAAAGTAAAGATGAAAGTGACTTTGTAGTGGTTCAACAGCCATCTTTAAGTGAATTTGGAAAAGATGACTCCCTGTTTGGCAGCTGCTATGGTAAAGATTTGGCTAGCTGTGAAGTCAATAGTGAAGATGAAAAAGGAGGCAAAAATAGATCAAAAAGTGAAAGCTTAATGGGTACGTTAAAAAGGAGGCTTTCAGCAAAACAAAAGCAAAAAGGCAAAGGCAGCACACCATCTGGAAGTTCCGCAGATGATGACACCTTTTCTTCGTCATCTGCTCCAATAACTTTCAAAGATGTGCGAGCTCAAAGACCTCTGAGATCCACTTCCCTCCGTAATCATCATTACAGTCCAACTCCATGGCCCCTTCGACCTACAAATTCAGAAGAGACTTGCATAAAAATGGAAGTGAAAGTCAAGGCCTTGGTCCATTCCTCTAATCCAAGCCCAGCACTGAATGGCGTTCGAAAGGACTTCCATGACTTGCAGTCAGATAACGTGTTCCAGGAACAAAACAATGCATTAAAAAATACGGAATCTCAGAATGGGGACTTGCATCTTCATATTGATGAACATGTGCCTGTAGTTATTGGATTAATGCCTCAGGACTACATTCAGTATACTGTGCCTTTAGATGAGGGAATGTATCCTTTGGAAGGATCACGTAGTTACTGTCTGGATAGTTCCTCACCCATGGAAGTTTCAACTGTTTCTTCTCAAGTGGGAGGAACTGCTTTCCATGAAGAAGAGAGTCAAGTGGATCAGGATGTAGTAGTTGCACCAGATATCTTTGTGGACCAGACAGTGAATGCTTTGTTGATTGGTACCACAGGAGTCATGTTGCAAAGTCCAAGAGTTAATCACAGTGATGTCCCTCCACTTTCACCTTTGCTACCTCCAATGCAGAATAATCAAATCCAAAGGAACTTTAATGGATTGAATGGCACAGATGCCCATGTGGCTGAAAGTATGCGCTGCCATTTGAATTTTGATCCTAACACTGCCCCTGGAGTTGGAAGAGTTTATGATTCTGTACAGAACAGTGGTCCTATGGTTGTGACAAGTCTCACAGAAGAACTGAAAAAACTTGCAAAACAAGGATGGTACTGGGGCCCCATTACACGTTGGGAAGCAGAGGGAAAATTAGCTAATGTGCCTGATGGCTCGTTTCTTGTTCGAGATAGTTCTGATGATCGTTACCTTTTAAGTTTGAGTTTTCGTTCCCATGGGAAAACACTTCACACTAGAATTGAACATTCAAATGGTAGGTTTAGCTTTTATGAACAACCGGATGTGGAGGGACATACGTCTATAGTTGATCTAATTGAACATTCGATCAGGGACTCTGAAAATGGAGCTTTCTGCTATTCAAGATCCCGATTACCTGGATCTGCAACTTATCCAGTGAGACTAACAAATCCAGTATCTCGGTTTATGCAGGTGCGTTCTTTACAATACCTGTGTCGTTTTGTAATACGTCAGTACACCAGAATAGACCTGATTCAGAAACTGCCTTTGCCAAACAAAATGAAGGATTATTTACAGGAAAAGCACTACTGAAAGCTTATGGAAATCTTGCATCTTGCACTTTGGGAACAACAACAACAAAAGAGATTGAATTACAGTTTACAGACTTTCATTATTATCAAAATCTTTTGCTGCCATAACAATATTTCATTTTTGTGTGTAAAAGAAAGGTAATGCATTTGGATTTATGTTTGTTTTGGGGGGTTTTGTGTATTTTGGGGGGCTCTTTTTTTTTTTTTTTTTGTAAAGAATGATCTCAACTTTATTTTTAGAAGTGTGAAATAGCTATCTTTCATCAATGTGCAGATTAATCACAATGTGAATGATCAAATTATCCTTAATTTCCCCCAAGTCCTTTGCTGCTATCCACTGTGATTTTTATGCATTGAAAGCACATTTCATGTGTATTCAACCATAAGTAAAAGTCAATGAAACTTGTTCAATGGATTTTTATTCCTTTAAAATAGCCTGTTTGATCATGGTTAATAGCATTGGTATTCTAAATTAAAGTATTTACATCTATGTTAAAAATGATTTCCTAGTTTCCTAATTATAAATTTCTAATGTGGAACTTAATAGAGCTGTGTGATAAAGACATGCTTATGCAGCAGATATCTTAAAAACAAACAAAAAAAAACCCAAACCCAATAAAGAACAAAACATCTTTCTCTTAAGCCTTGTATTGTCTGTACACTACTTTGTGTTTGAGAAAGTTGGTTCAGCTTTCTTATTGTCTCAGTATTTTGTTCTTCTAAAAATGGCCTTTAAAAAAAGAAGTCTGTGAGTGTCAATTCATCATACCTATGAGGAAGTTGCAGCATTGGGATGACATCAAATATCTTTAAATGCCATCAATTAAATAAGCAAACTCCTACCAGGACCCCTCTTTCTGTTGTTTACCCTCTTACCCCCCTTTGGGCAAAAATATGCTCTGAAATTATAGGGAGATTCTAGGAAAAGCTTTTACTGAAATACGAACTGGTAAGCCATTTCAGGGATTGTGTAAAACTTCTATTAGGAGGATTTCTACAATATTTATTCAAAATACTAGAAGTTTCAGCATTTTCCATTTTTCTGTAGAGGAAAAAATAGGACTAATAATATTTTGGATGGAAGTTGCTTGAAATGAATCTCTAAAGCTCTATTCTCATAGTCCTCAGTATTCTGGGGAGGAGAGGTTTGAATATATATTGACCACAGAAAATATTTCAGTTAACTGTCATGAAATATGTTTTGACATATGAAATATTGAATCCATTCAGTAAATTTTTATGATATCTGTTGAAGATTCTGGCATTTGAAAAGCTTATAGTTATTCTTACATTCAATAGGAAGAAGACTTTTAATTGGGAATACAGGTTCCACACTGTAATCATTCATTCTTTCAATGTTAATCCATGGCATTTTTTTGTTTTCTTTCTTTCTTCTTTTTTTTCCTCCTCCTTCTTGCCCATGATTCTGTCCCTTTTATGTTAAAGGGATCATGGCTAACTGACTTGGGAGGGAGGCTTACTCTGCCTCTCTCTGTCCCTAGATTTTGGTATTTAAAGTGTCATCTTCCCCATCTCTGGTAGGAGTTGCTAGTTAGTAAACATCAGCATAAAAAGGGCTGTTTATCTTTGATACAGCTTTCTTTTTTAGGTCATTTTCTTCTTTTTGTTTTATCTAGCCTTTTGCCCCCTGAAGTGAATTCTTTAGTAATGAAACACTATTGCTGCAAGGTGGTGTAATAGCACTACATCTTGGGTTGCCTGAATTGATAGACAAAATTTATATTTTTTTAATTTATTTTTTGACCATAATGTTTAACAAAAAAGTAAAAAAAAAAAAAAAAAGAAAAAAAAAGAAAAACAAAGGTAGATAAAGGCTGCCTTTGCTTTTAAGGGAGCGAGAGTAAGGATTTCTTCTTTAGTCTGATAAAAGTTTTAAATTAAAAAAAAAAAATCAGAGCTGTCTATATACATAATTTGTTTCTGCCATTGAGATGCATGTATGCAAGTGTGAATTCTGTTTTCTTTTTTTCCTCTACTGACATCTCCCCAGCCCTAACCCCCCTGAATCAGAATCACTAACTTTATTCAAAAAAGGCACAATAACCTATTGTATGGTACAGTGTTCTGATTCTGTCTGTGAGGAGGAAAAAGAAAATCATTTTTATAGTTTTCAGATGCATACATCTTGGGAAAAAAACCTCTGGCGTTTACTTCACTTTAAAAATTCTTTCCCTGTGCAAGCTGGAGGGCCTATGCATTCTACAGAATCTTTGAAAGATTATTCTATAATAAATATTTTCTTTGCCATTTAATACCACTATTGAATGCATTATACTATGCCACATGCGTTAATTTAGCAGTTACTACATTGAAATCAAAATATTTGAAGCTATAATATCCCATTCTTATTGCTAAATTGAAAAATATGTAAGAACACGTGCCCATGCCTTTTCAGATTTGTTTGTTCACTCATATGTGTTGATGATTTTTGAAACCGTAGTTCAGCTGTCCAGTTCTTGAATTCCTCCCTTCTTTGTTTAATGAGGTCAACTTACTGTTGTCATTTTTCCCCTCCTATAAAGCTTCCACAAAAGGAACAGTTTAAAGTACTGGAGGCCTAGGATGTGGGGACCTCATAGCACTTTGTTTCTTGATAAAAATGATGATATTTCTACTGAGGTCAAAATACTTTAATTCAGTAGTAAGTAGACAAAAAAACAAAAACAAAAAACCCAATACTTATTTTTATAGGTTTAATTATTCAGAATTTCTCAGTATGTTTTATGCTAAGGTAATTGGACAGCCAAGAGAAAGAACCCAGAAAAAAATACTTCGAAAACCTTAAGGGTAATTACAACTTCATATAATAAATATTAATAGAGAATAAACAAAGCAACAATTATGAGACAATTTAAAATACTCAGAGTAACCACAAAAAATTGTTTTGATTTCTACTTCATAAAATTTAGAAAAACAATGTGTCCTTGACAAACAAAAAGGAAAATAACTGCAGATATTTTGAGGACCTTTAAAATAGATACACTAAGAAAAACTTAAGCGACTATCATTTTCATAGAGTAGAAAAGTAACTATTTATTCAGCACAACAGTTTAAGGGTTCAAAAGATAGGCCTTTTATGCAACTGACTTGTGGAACAATGTTTTTGAGAATGAAACTTTGAAATAAAACTTCTTTTTTTTGAGTATATGAAATGACTGAAATTATTGGTAACATTTGTGTTTCGCTGATTAGAAGAGTACAACAATACCTTTTATTTGAACATATAAAAATTTGCACAGTTTTTTCATTCTTTTTTTTTTTTTTTTTTTAAATTTATAGGTCTGTTATAAACAACTGAAAGTGATTTGTATTCTTTTATCAATTTGAAGGATATAGCACTTATCCTACTCTTGACATAGCAAATATCATCTTTTAATAAAAATGTTTTCCTGTCAGAAGGATCAGAAATACAATTAATAATTAAATTCTTTGTTCATCAATGAACTGACTTTACGTTTTGTAAGGCCAATTTCTTTCTATGAATATAGGGTGCTGGGCTAAGTGAAATCCGTGCAGTTTTTCTTGTGATGCATTTCATCTGTGAATACTGGAATTATAAATTTTAAATGGCATACCAGCAATATATGGGCTATGATTCTGTTGAGGAAGTATTTCTCTGTTACTGTATTTTCAATTTCTGAGCTAAGCTATGGATGAATTTCATTTCTTTCAATCTTTGTATGACTGCAAAGAATAAAAATTAGAAACATCCTTTATAAATAAAAAATGGACAAGATGGTAGTTCGTTATATGGCATTGATGTGTCTGGAAACTCCTAAATTCTACAAAGATAGTGAAAAATTCTTAAAGAATTTTCTATGATTTTATGTTGGGTTAAAGAATTTTTATAGTGATGATGGAGTGCCATGAAGTTAATACTTGCAATCCAGATTGCTGTAGTTTACACTTTTCTCTGTTTCAGACCTGGTGTGCACTATTTGTACTAAGCACACCACAGAGTGAATTATCCAAAGTCCATTGATTTTAATGTGTTTTGGTTTGTAAACAAAATTATAGTAATTTCTTGCACATTTTGGAGAAATAATTGTATAAGGATTTATGTATCTGCTTCTGGATACAGTGTGTAAATAAAAATTTCATTCACAAGAAGATTTGTGGAGTGTTCTATACCTGGATGAAGTTCTAAAACTAAACAAAATTAAAAACCAACCTGACATTGTAGACTTGAGTATCTAAGTTAAATATCTAGATTCTATAGATTATAGCTGTTCCATATGTTCTTTTTACCACTCTCAATAGACTTTTCAAAATGATTTCCATATACGAATTGTATTAATGCCTAGTTTTCAAAGTGTAAAATTTTCGAGAACATGATTTTTACAATATTTGCATGTCTGCTGTGAGTTGTTATATGCATTTTTTTTCCTAAAAAACAAACAAACAAACAAAACAATAACAGTACGAGAATTTGTTACAGAAGTCTTCCTTTCCTCCAGATGTACCAAGATGGGCAAGAGTTCTTATTTTTTCCAAAATATGAAATAATATTTGGTGTTGATTTTCACATGTTCACTTGATGCTTTCCTAAATCTTCTTTTTAAAACTGAATGATGTTTTAAACTCTGGAAAATCATACAAATATATCAGAAGGTAAGGAATTTTTATGTTTTGAAGGATATGCATAGTTCATGTTTTATTCTACTTGTGGCTTTCTTAAACTTACTCTCATATTCAAGAAAACACTTGTCCCCCTACAGTCTAATTATAAATGTGTTTTTAAAACAAACAAAAACACCTTGATAGCTAGTAATGAGTGTTCATATTGTCAATTATTGTCTACAGCTGATATGTACTTTGTTGTATATTCTGTAACTTAGGTCCTAAACCAAAATCCAGGGACATCTCATAGTTTTTGCCACCCAAGAAAAATCTACTTTCTCTTTCCTACTGTGGTTGATGTTGTTACACGTTTGGTATGCATGTATGATTACTCTCCATCTTGAATGTATGTTATTCTCTGATTTCATTCTATTGTTCACTCCAGTAAATTTGGTGAAAATGAAATGCATTCTCAAATGGTAAGCAATGGTCAGCAGTTTACAGCTTAGGCAAGCAGGTCTGAAATGTTTATAATCAAGATACCTGTAATCCTAATTACTTCTATCTCACATTCAATCAGCTTCATAAATGGAAGAGTGGAAGAGAAATGCTACCAAGATGCAGAAAACTTAGTATGTGTTTGATGCTGTAACATTGCACCAAGATGCATAAGCTGAGCTTCATGGGGCAGGGATGTGAGCAAAGTTATCCTCTCCAATTAAGGGAAGTCCTCAGAGACTACAGAAGTTTAAGATGGAGTCGAAATCCTTAATATTTAGAGAACAGAGTATGCTACTAAGGTAGTATTCAACTAATTCATGTCCTGTGAAAATAAAAGACACTGAAGTACAGGTATGTGACAGCCTTGTTCCCTTTTGTCTGTTGTATATGATGATGAATTTCAAGTTTTTTAACGCATCCTTGTGTTTTCTTTGTCTTTTGCTTATGTTTTCAGTTTGGTTGGATGAGTCCAAAAACAAACAAAACAAACCAAATCATCACAATCTGATAGGAAGAATGCAGAGGTTAGAAATTGTTACTTTCTCTTTATTTACCATGGGAACTTTGGTCAGATTACAGGCAGTTGCACAAAATTTAATATTGACACCATTAACATCTTCATACCAGCTACATGATAGGAAGCATTCATCAAAGAATCATTTTAATTGGGAGATAATTAACTACTAGTGTGGGTTAATATAATGCGGTAAGTGAAGATAATCTATCATCATCTTTTGGTACTTAATTTATAATATATCCAAGTTTCTTATGAGGACAATTGATTATTATCCTCAAGTGCAAGGTCTTATACCTGGGTCAAGGCAACCCCACTACGAGTATGAGCTGGGGGGTGAAAGGATTGAGCACAGTCTTGCTCGAAAGGACCTGGGGGTACTGGTGGATGAGAAGCTGTGCATGAGCCAGCAGTGTGCCCTTGCAGCCCAGAAAATCAACTGTATCTTGGGCTGCTTTAAAATAGGCATGGCCAACAGGTTAAGGGAGGTGATTCTGCCCCTCTACTCTGTGCTGGTGAGGCCTCACCTGGAGGACTTTGTACAGATGCAGAGTCCTCAGTGCAGAAGAGATATAGACTGTTGGAGCATGTCCAGAAGAGGGCCACAAAGATGATGCAAGGGGCAGAACACCTCCTACAAGGACAGGCTGAAAGAGCTGGGGCTGTTCAGCCTGGAAAAGAGAAGGCTGCGAGCTGACCTGACAGTGGCCTTTCGGTATCTAAAGGGGAGTTACAGAAAAGAAGGGGACAGACTCTTTTGCCAGATCTGTGGTGACAGAACAAGGGGAAATGGTTTTCAAGCTTAAAGAGGGTAGATTTAGGTTAGATATAAGGAAGAAATCTTTTACAATGAGGGTGATGAGGCACTGGAACATGCTGTCCAGATATGTGGTTAATGCCCCGTCCCCAGAGACTTTCAAGTCCAGGCTGAACTAGGCTCTGAGCAAACTGATCTAACTGTGCATGTCCCTATTCATTACAGAGGAGTTGGGTTAAGTGACCTTTGAAGATCCTTTCCAATTCTGAAAATTCTATGACTCAATAATATGTAAAATCAAAGTTGTAGCCTGTTATCACATGGTTGCTATCTTTTCTCTAATTAATAGTAATTCTGTATGGGAAAATAGGTTGGATGGGGCCCTGGGCCTCAGGTTGGTGGCCCTGTCTGCAGCAGCAGGGTTGGAGCTTGATGATCCTTGAGGTCCCTTCCAACCCAAGCTATTCTATGATTTTGTGATTACTTTAATTGATGATGTATTGAAATGTGAAATGCTGAAGGCACAAGATGGAAGCTTAATGAAATCGTGGCTAATGCC